ACTCCTTTCTTCATCCTCCACACTCCATCTTCCTTCACTCCACCACGTTCCCTAAAACTAACTTCGTAAACTTTAAAGTTTTAAGCCAACTTCGCGCTGTCCGTGCGCTCCTGCAGGTGGTATTTTGTGGAAGAGCCACAGTCACGGGGCCAAAGAGCCGCATGTGGCTCGCGAGCCGCGGTTTGCCGACCTCTGCTCTAAGCTCCTGTGGGCGGGTTCACCGCCACCCTGCCAGCTGCCGACCCCCCAAGGGCACTGCCCTTTCCCTCCACGAGTGCGGGGTGAGGAGGGTGGAGCTTAAAACGCACCCACAGACTCACGCACGGAGGCGGGGGGTTGGCCAGGAGGGGCCTTTCCTGACGCGGCGCGGTCCCTCGCGGGCACAGCGTGGTGCATAAGCCCCTGGGAGAGGCGACTTGGCAGGAACGTCCAGAGAAACAAGCAGCAGGTCTGAAATCAATAAAAATATGTATTTTTTTTTAAAGAAACTGTGCTCCATCCGGACAGTGGAGTATTACTCAGAGCTAAAAAGAAATGAGCTACGAAGCTGTGAGAAGACGTGGAGGAGCTTCAACGCACGTTCCTAAGTGGCAGCCGCCAGCGGCCGCGGCCACGGCCACGAGCTGTGTGAGTCCAACTCCATGCCACTCGGCATAGGGAAGGCTCTATAATTACGTATTGTTTTTGTGATTACTCAGTGCTTTAATGATGTTCAACTTGTAACAGTGAACTTGGGGGTCACCACAACACGAGGAGCTGCATTAAAGGGCCGCGGCGTTAGGAAGGTTGAGAACCGCTGCTGCATGCGCACGAGAGGCCTCCCAGCCAGAATCACCGAAGGGTGTGTGGAGACGTCCTGCCCCCGCGCCCGGCAGGGGACCCCCTCCCCAGCAGGAGAGGACCACGCAGATCCCAGTTGAATCTCACATTCGCCCCAACCAATAGCGTCGGCCAGGGGACCCATTGCTCCGAGTTCGACTGCGGTCAAGGGCATGTACCTCCGTTGCAGGCTCCTCCCCGGCCCGGGCCCTGGTCGGGGCTCGTGCAGGAGGAAACCAATCAATGTGAGAAACACATTGATATTTCTCTCTGTCTTTCCCTCTCTCTTCCACTTGCTCTAAAAATCAATGGAAAATATCCTTGGGTGAGGATTAACAAACAAACAAAAGGGGTGGGGAGAAGTCTGGAGGCAGCAGAGACCACACACACACACACACACACACACACACACACCCACGCCTGCACACACCCA